ATTTATTCAAATCAGATGATTTGAGCAACGTCTTGAAGTGGTTTAGGGATTGTGGTCTCAAATACCCGAAAGTGATTGTCAACTATCAGAAGCGTCATAATCAACAAGTACCTACTCACTGGGAAATATGTAAGTAATGATAATAAAACAAAAAATAATTAACAAAGTGATTTATGACGGTCAAAAACATGCACAAAAACAAAACCAAATTACATGTAATACAATTCATGGAATGTGAACTATACTAATAATGGTCATACTCTAGCAATGAGGTCATACAGTGTATGTGTAACAATGTATACACACACACTAACCTTTAATTGTTTAATGATTACTTATCCTCTACCTGTTGTTGTTTAGGTTGCAAAAGAACTTGTTGTTTGTCATTCTGTCTCAGCCTTATCACTGTCCCTGCCTTTATCTGCACCTTATTATTTCTAACTATTCCTAACTACCCTCTTGTCACAAACGATGTTACCTATGAACATACTTCTGTTGGTGGTAAGGCAACTGTCAAAATCGGAAATTACAGCTCAAAATCTATCAAAGATTTGCAGATTGAAGCTCTCAACAATACCGAGGGTCGAAATTATGCTAACGGTACAGTGATATACAGAGCAAAAGAGAATGAGTTTAACGTGTCCTTCAAAGAGTTAGACTTTAAAAGTAGGACTTATAGAACTCTGAGCCACGAGGTACCTGTATTTTTCGGATTTAACCAGTCAGTTTCACTTTACAATGCTGCTGGAGAAGGAATAGTGAATCTGTCCTTAAATTTGACGAACATTAACAGAACAAGTTGCGCTGCGAGGTTGGTTGTTTTCAACTCTCAAGTTGAATTTAAAAACTATACTGATGGGTCTACTCGGGACCCACGTCATGTACCACTTGCTGCCTACCACTCTTCAGGGTGTATCAATACGTCTGGTACACACTCAGTCCCTCTGAAGAAAGATGCTTTTTCCTTCTTTGCCATCGCACACGTAAAGAATGTCCATTTGACTGTCAACACTTCTGGATATGTTTCTGAGTACGTTATACTCAAAAAGGAAAGCTCTTGTACTCTCAGTCCTTCTTGCCAGTCTAACGTTACAATCAGTAGTGAAGAGAAATGTACTACTAGTAGGAATGATGATGATGATTCAGCTGATGATGAAATATCGTATGTAACGGTATTTGGTACTTCTACAAGTAGTCGTCTCGGAGAAGTGAAGGTAACAGCTCACCACCTCTGCCATCAAGAGTATAACTATTGTTACTTTGCAGCTGGTGTAGTACCAGGTGTCTTCTCGCTGCTATTCCTCCTCCTGTTTGGGGTGAGCTGCTTAGTGTGTTTGTATAAGTTTATATTCAGAGCTAAAGAAATGAAAGTGGTTTAGTGCACTATTGCTGTTGATCAGTTTCCAACTCTCTTTCAAATATAATAATACTAAACATAAATAAAATTATTATTATTGCTACATGCATAATAGTTATTGTTATTACTATTATTATCATCATTATTATTATTTACTGTTCTTTACTTTGTATTTATATTATGCTTCTTATTTTTGTAATGTTTTTACTTCTTGTCTTTACCTTTTGCTTCCGAACTCTTCTTCTCTATTTCACTAATAGAATAAAAAAATAAAGTCAATTCAAACCTCATGATCTGTTGCATCAAACATACCAAGAGTCTAGACATGGTATTATCTTCTCTGCTTTCATGTCATTCAGTATCTTGTATACATCATTTTCAGCATCTGGATTGTCTGAGTGAAAGTCAATTGCATTTGCAGATACAATGATGGCACTTGTGACAGGCTTTGGGTCTTGTAGAGTAGGCTTGAAGACAAATTCCCTTGGGTTTTCATTCACTGTCACTCTATACAGCACACCTTTAACTTTCTCTTCACTGTCATAAGGCTATCAATTATAATTGAGTAGCAAAATGATATTAACTACAGGTTTCCTTACAGGTGCTTTTTTCAGTCCTTTAATCAGCTCAGCTACCAATGGTTTTATTACAGCACCAGCTAAGCATTCATATGTGTAAGTCAACTCAATGGTAACTGTTGGTGTTTCTATATAATAATAATAATAGTGACATTGAAATCAGCTACAGTATAAACTATGTGCTCTTACGTGGGTCACCTTCAAGTTTAGCAGCAAGTGGAGTAGTAGATGCCAGCCTTGCCTTAGGTGTGTAGTCCTGAGTTGGATACGACATACCTTGTGGAAACCAAGCTTCATTCATGTCTCTAATAGCATCTTGTATTTTCTCCACGTTCTCTCTTTTAGTCGTAACCTTAAAATAGCTAAGTTTTTGGGGATTGTAGCTATCTTCCTTGTCTATTAAATTCTTTTCAACCAATGTTTGTAATACATCGACATAATGGTTTGAATCAACCCATATCCATTTAGTAACTTTGTCATCTCCAGTATCATTGGTCTTAGCAAGTCCAGCCATTTCCAGTTCAGAGTGAAGAGAGAGAGAGAGGAAGAAGAGCAACCTAGCAAGGGCTGTTGTAGTAAAAGAGGGCCTGCCACAGGCTGCCAGTGGTAGCCTAATGATAACCTAATGATAGCATTGAAACTAGTTTTATCAGTGGGTAGTGATAACACCCAGATCAGGTGAGACCATATAGTAATGAACTACTGACTTATTGTGATTCACTTCACTAGACTACTATCAGTACTATGATATAGAGAGATGGGCAATGATTGTTAACATTGTGAACATTGTGTTAACTCCTGTGCCTCAGTGATCATTACTGGCTGATATCAAACTGACTTAAAAGTGACTACAAACAATATTATACACACAGCTGAGCATAAGAACATTAATATGTATCAGAAAATGTAATAAAATTTTGGGAGTGATTTTAAGCCATTTTTTGGAAAAAAGCGTGGGCTATAGCTTTAGGTATTTTCCAGATTTTTGATGTTTTCTTAAAATGGCCGTAACTTTACAAATTGAAGTCGGAATCAGCTCAAACTTTCTACACAGTATAAGGGCATCAATATGTATCAGAAAATGTAATAAATTATCTCTACTGCTTGTAGGCTGTATTCATGACAATGGCGTCTCAAGTATTGGATCATGTGAAGTAAAGCTCTTGAACCTTGTAACCATGCAAGTATGAATTCGAATCGCTGCAAATTAAAGACTACATGTTGTAGCATCAGAGCAATGCGGAGTTTAGCAGGAGTGAGTGTAGAAGACTGATCGTGTTGTGGAAAGAAAGACACGACAGCTATTCTCCTGAATAGATTCAATTTCTTTTTCTCTCATATCAGCCATGATGTAGTAGACAATGTTAGTATGAGATCTG